TGAGTCAATGGAATACAATTTTTATTCTTTGTTCATCAATGTATGTTATTCAAAAATATTTTCCTCTTCATAGTCTGACTCTTTTACTATGAGTCTGTTATGAAAATCAAATACAAAAAACTTATTTTTAAATAATTTTTTCATATTTAAAATGAAAAACAAAAAATTCTATTTTTAAAATCTAATAAAATATTTTTGTTTTATTCAAAGACATGAAAAAGGGTTTTATATTCTGTCTTGGAATATCAATTTTTTCGTATGTGTGGATGTAATTATTATGGAGTTGATTGTGGTAGATTTAGTTATTACCATTTTCATAAGAATTAATTTTGATATTTGTCTTTAATTTTTGTGGTATCTATTTATAAGTACTGGAGTCATTCAATAAGAATTCCATTTTTTGTAAGTTAGAAAATATAGAAATTCAAATGACACTCATTCTCCTTTTTGGTATACAATAACTTGAAGAATGTTTTTTGTTACAACTGACTTTTTGGTATTTCTCTTCTATTTTAATTCATCCAATTATTGAAAGTTGAACCAATCACTCATTTTAATTTAGATGTTTTTGTCGTTTAAACGTTGTGTATTTACACTCTACAAAGGTATAGGACTATGACGTTGAGATACAAAGAATCGAGATAACATGAGTGAAATAAGATAGTCAATCATTTCTTGAAAAGAAGAAAATAGAATTCACATCTCAATCATATAAAGCTAAGAAGACTTACGAAATTGGTTTGAGATAAAAGAGAAGAAAAAAAAACAATAACAGAAAATGAATTTTAGAATAAAATATATGAAAAAAGAGTTTCATAACAACAGAAAGAAAGAACTTAGAAATAATAATTTATATGGTTTTTCCAATTTTATGGCATCGACTTATTCTTTTGATTATATGTATTAATATTGTAAATGGTACAGATAATTCATTACACCCAAATATGTATTTAAAGAACAATAAAATTGAGTGTCATGTTGGATGTTCTTCATCTTGTATAGCTAATTACACATGTCCATCATGTGGGATAGGGTATGACCAAGACTATTCTTGTGACCATTGTCAATTAATTAATACATACAAACCATTTAGTTCAGATAATCCTTTGTATGTTATGCAACATGATATTTGTACGAGTATATCTCATTATATAGTAAAATCAACATGGTTACCCGATAACAGAAATTCTATTCATATTAATGAGCCAATAGAATTAATATTTAATTCAGAAACGTATTATGATTATGGACCATGTATTACTAGAAAAGAAAAACAAAACAGATACAGAATTGGACATTGGCTTGAATTAAATCTTTTAGAATTTCCTGATTCAGTTAATTATATGCAAGTACAATTAAAATATAAAACAACAAAACAAGGTAAAAGAGTTAATGTTTATTATGATATTTCAGATAGTGAACCATCTACAAGTAATCCATATTGTTATGCACGTGGATTTCTTATTTCAACTAATGAAAGTACTTCACTTCAAGTTCCAATTCATTTTGATCGTATGGATTCTTCTAAAAGTAATAAATATTTTATTTATATTTATGAAGAAGAATATGCAGAATTAACTGTTGAAATATTAATTACAGAACAAATTGGTAAAATAGGTAATCCTTTTTTTACAATTGACCAAAAAATGGCTGATGAAATGATTACTACGGGTCAAAGTAAAACAGTTATTTTTCCTATGTCATCTGAAGGAAGACAAGCTTATCCTGCATGTTTACCTGGAACTATTATGAGAGTAATTAGATTTTCTATTTGGTATCAAGGGGATTTTTCAATAGTTGTTAGTACTAAACACGAAAATCGAATAAGATATATGCAAGAATTTAAAAAAACATTAAATGGAACAAATGAATGTGTTCAATTTTGGAATGGTCAAAGTCATGGAGTATTATATGATTCTGGAACAAATGATGGTGTATTAGTAAGAATAGATGGAAATGAAAATGGTAATGAAGAAAGATTATTTAGTTTTATTTCTAATGAACAAGAATTAGATATTTCAGCAACATTCACTGCTATTTGTCCAAATAATTGTAATGAAAAGTTTGGGTATGGAAAATGTTCTACAATTGATATGAAATGTAAATGTAATGATAAATATGGAGGGGATGATTGTCATTTCCTTTGTTATTATGATGGAAAATTTACTAATGGTTCAGGAGAAGGACAATGTCACTATGGAGAACCTGGATGTAATTCATATTGTCAATGTGAACCAGGATATACATTAAATGGATATTATTGTGTTAGTGATAGTTGTAAAAATAACAATAGAAATGATATAACTATTGAATGTGTTCAAGGAGATGAAGGATGTAGAGCTGATTGTATATGTGAAAGTTCATCATTTAAATTCTCACCAACTCTTAAACAATGTGTTCCAATAGTTTGTGGAAATAATCAAATTGATGATATTAATTTAAATGGAATTTTTTTGAGAAAAGAAGAATGTGATGGTGGAATTAATTGTGATGAAACTTGTCATTGTCTTCCTGGTTATATTCAAGACGAATCAAATCCATTGCGTTGTATTGAAGATTCTAATTCAATTTCAATGATTATTGGAATAACAATTATTGCAATTATTATTTTTGTGATATTATTGTGTTGTGGTGGAATTCTTCTTTATTTTTTACTTAGAAGAACTAAATTTGATATTAATATTTATTTACAACAACAACCAAATTATTATTTATATTTAAGTGGTTCAAAGAAAAAACCACCAACAATAGAAAACAAATATGTTATTGAGCCATTATCTTTAGACTTTGGTAATGAAAATACATTAACTGCTGTATTAGATACTAGATTTGAGAAGATTGATATTAGAAATAAAAGTGGAAATAAATACATGATGGTTATTTTTCACACTCCAAACAATCCTAAATTTGTATTTCATTTTGAACCTCAAGTTGTATTACTTCGTCCAAGAGGATTTAAAACAATAACATGTTTTATGACATTATTCTGTACAACTAAAATCAAAGATATGAAAATCCCATATTCTATTTGGTTTAGTAAATCAAAA